CTTTTCAGAAATACCTTTACTATTATTTTTATCAAAATGTTTAGGATAATATTGCACATTCAAAATAAACTCTCTTTTTGCAGAAAACCGTTCTGATGTTTATAATTTGATCAATTATAGGACGAAATACTTTGACCCTATAATTTCAAATCCAACAAATTTTTTTTATCTCATTAATTTTTCCGACGATAACAATCACAACAGTTATCGATAATCTGGTATTTAAAAAAAAGTTATATGAAGAATATATTTTTTAATGTTTACCTAATAAATTTTAAATAACAAATAAAAGTTGTTTATTAGCCTGCCCATTGTTAAAATTTTTCAAAGGTCCGTTAGCACTTTTTAAATTATTTAGCTAGCGAGCCCAATTTGATAGAAGGGCGTGGGCTAAAATCCAGATCATTTGGGCAAAAAAATTCAAAAATATTTTAAATAACGATTAACTGAAATTTTAATTTAACATGTTTACAATATATATATATATTTACAAGTTTGCTTTAAAAATTTTCAAAAAGGTTCACAAAAAATGATTATGACAATTGAAACTTTTTTATGGTCATCTTCACTGAAATTTTAATATAACATGATTATAATATATATTTTTACTTATTTTCTTTGAAAAAATTCAAAAAAGTTCCAAATAACGATTATATCAATTCTCACTTTTCTATGGTACATCTTCACTGAAATTTTAATTTAACATTTTTACAATATATATTTTTACCGATTTATTTTAAAAAAATTCAAAAAAGTTCAATAACGATTATGACAATTGTCACTTTCTATGGTACATCTTCACTGAAAATTTAATTTAACATGTTTACAATATATATTTTTACCCATTTGCTTCAAAAAAGTTTAAAAATAACGATTATGACAAAAATTTTAATTTAACATGTTTACAATATATATTTTTACCCATTTGTTTCAAAAAAATTCAAAAAAGTTAAAAATAACGTTTATGACAATTGTCACTAGAGATCTGCAAAGTTAGGCCCGGCCCGAGTCTCGGGCCAAATTCTATTTAAAATAATCAGGTTAGGTCGGGTCGGACCTTGTATATTTTTTTAAATATATCTAAATTTATCAATTTTATATTGAATATTTTATGTCAATAAAAATATTTGATTTTATTTATTGACACTAAACTACATATAACATATGTCTTTTATTTTGAGTAATTATAAAGATTAATTTCTATATTTAAATAAATTCGTGCCGGGCTGGGTCGGGAAATTTTTTTAAAAAAAATTTCGGGTTCGGGCCGGGCCGGCAAAACTTTTCTAAAAAAAATTCGGGTTCGGGCCGGGCCGGCAAAACTTTTCTAAAAAAAATTTCGGGCCGGGCTTGAAAAATTAGGCCTGATGCAGATCACCTATCACTCTTCTATGGTACATCTTCACTGAATTTATTTTAACATCTTTACAATATATATTTTTACCTATTTACTTTAAAAAAATTCAAAAAAGTTAAAAAATAACGATTATGACAATTGTCACATTTCTATTACGTCAAAAAATTTCAAAAAACATTAGGAATAACGATTATGACAATTGTCACTTATCTATGATACATCTTCATCGAATTTTTAATTAAACGTATTTACAATCTAAATTTTTACCTATATAAAAAATTTCAAAAAACTTTAGAAATAACGATTATGACAATTGCCACTTATCTATGATACATCTTCATCGAATTTTTAATTAAACGTATTTACAATCTATATTTTTACCTATATGCGTCAAAAAAATTTCAAAAAACTGTAGAAATAACGATTTTGACAATTGTCACTTATCTATCACCGAAATTTTAATTTAACATATTTACAATCTATATGTTTACCTATTTGCGTCAAAAAAATTAGAAAACTTAGTAATAACGATTATGGCAATTGTCACTTTACTACTAGGGTACATCTTCACTGAAATTTTAATTTAACATATTTACACTAAATATTTTTCTCTATTTCCGTCAAAAAAATTCAAAAATCTTTAAAAATAAAGATTATGACCAGCCTATATTTTTACTTGTTTGTTTCAAAAAATTTCAAAAAACTTTAGAAATAACGATTATGACAATTGTCACTTATCTAGGGTACATCTTCACTGAAATTTTAATTTAACATATTTACAATTTATGTTTTTACCCATTAGCGACTAATATGTTTAAAAATACAGATTATGATAATTGTCATTTTTAGAAAGGAACATCATCATCGCCGGGGTGGCCTAATGGGTAAGATGTACGCTTGGAAACACGAGTATGAACAAGGACGCAGGTTCAATCCTTGTAAGAACCATAAAAACTTTCCAGTTTTTCTTCGATGACTGATGTGTAAAGACATATGGTATGATGAATTTCGGAGCTTAGAGATGACACCCCGGTCACCGACAGGCCTGGACAGCCGGGTGCTAAGGATACCTGTCCAATAAACAAAATGAAGAAAACAAATGGAAATATGAATATGAAAGATAGGGCGTTCCCTCCAAGCGACGCGCAGGGTGTAGACCTCCATCCTGTGAATAAGTAAAGGTAAAAGCAAAGAAAATAAGATTAGCAAGTTTGAATATTCCCAGGAGAAGATATCGCCGCACAACACAAGCTACTAGTCATGGATTTACACAAGATTCAGTTTTCGACTAAGTCGACTCGACTCAGTCGTTTAACAACACTAATTTATAAATCATTGTATGAATAATTTTTTGATCAAAATTGGTAAGGTTAATACATGTCGCTATATTTTGTATATACTATATTCTCATATCTATTTATAGCTTCCTGCAAATCATTAAATGATTCAAATTGAGCCCCAACCTATTAAATAGATTATAGAATATATATATAGATAAAAATTTTAGGTTAAAACTTTAAATAATTACATTTCAAATCAATAGTAAATATATTCTTAAAAATCTTGTAGAAGTTATATTGTCTAAATCAAAAAGATCAAAATTGCTTTGATGAGCATCCATAAGAATCTAGTATGATCAATGATATTGTAACTATATAAATACAATATACTTTTAAAATTTATGAGTATCAATTTTGATTATTTCTGTTATTCAAATAAAATAATTATAAAACGAACATTTATAAACGAGAGCTTTCGTAATTTTATTTATTTATTTACATAAAAATAAATATATGACGTATTTTGGCGTGCTTGTTACTTTATGAAAAACATGAAAAAAATAATATTATAATATAAAATATTAATAACTTTAATAAAATGATAATTTAAGTTGACTGATCTATCCATCCCAAATGGCGAAGATTTTCCGGTTCATCTTTTGGAAGAATATAACCTAACAAATGAAATGGAATTTTGATGTCCATGGACTCAAATATTCTTAACTCACTCCTTATCATGAATATAACTATTCAAGACTAAAAAACAGATAAGATATATATATGTCTTTATATTATTAATTATTAAATTACAATTACAATATCGGAAAGGGTAAGTTCCACTCATTTAGTTAATCTACAACTGGGTACAAGGTTTGTTGGTATCCTTGATAAAAATAATCGGCATAATTTTATGAAGGGTGGGCCTTCATAAAATTCACGTTCGCTCATTTTGGGCAGGTCTATGACCAACGTGCTAGATAAGATAAGATAAGAATAACAGAAATAATCAAAATGGATACTCGTAAATTTTAAAAGTATATTGTATTTATATAGTTACAATAATGACTTTATATTTAAAATTTTATGAAACAGGTTATTTCGCAATTGAAGGTGTCTAATAGTATCCTTGAAAATTAGATATTAGCCAATACATTGATAGCCAAGCATTTTTATCAATTTATATCAGAGACCTGCAGGCCCGGCCCTAAGCCCGGCCCGGCTGTATTTTAAATTTTTTAAATATATCCGGGCCGGGCCTAAAAAATTTTTTTTTAAACATATCCGGGCCGGCCTAAAAATTTTTTTTTTAATATATCCGGGCCGGGCCTTCATATTTTTTATAAAAATTTTTACATTATGAGTTAATGGTTATAAGATTATATTATATTATAGTTATGATTAATATAATATTGGGTGATGGTTAACACCAATGACATTAATACTATAGACTGCCGATCGTAATAATAAAATCAAATTTGAACTGGCAAAAATTGAAGTGACTGGTGGCCATTTTGTGTTTGTGTCTTTTACGAAAGAAGCATATGATAATTTCATAAATTTCAACACCAATTTATTATTTACCTTATATATTATAGTATATATGAATCAAATAAAGGTCACTACTGAATATTTTACATGAAATATTTCTGCTCTTTATTAACATTTGCAATTTATTATTTAATAATGAATATCTTTTATAAGAATTCAATTTAATATTTTTTAATTACTAAAAGATTTAAAATGGTAGTATATTGCTGAGGAAGCAAAATTTCCTTTCATAAGTATGATATCTCCAATTAATTATTCTATTGTAAAAATTATTTATGGCAGATTTCCTATGAAAGATAAAATATTATTACAAAAGTGGACCCATGCTGTGAAGAGAGAGAACTTCAATGTAACAAAATATAGTAAATTATGTTCAAAGCATTTTACACCAGATTCATTTATTCCATCTGTTACAAATCATGTTCAATTAAGAGAGGGAGCAATACCATCAATTTTTAATTTTCCAAAGCATCTTCGAAAAGTAACAAAATAATGAATAATAAATTATAACATGCAGGTTTCCTAGAAGCCAGATTAATTCAAAAATACATGAATATTTTTTTTTATAGAAATCAATTCTAGATTTCTTTTGTATTTTTATAATTTATGTCTTATGTCTTTTATGTTTTATTTTTGCTTATAATTATGTTATTCCATAATAAATATAAACTATCCATTTATTTCTTTATTTAAATTTAATTCACTAAAGTATAAAAATCAATAATGTAAATATATATCATGAAAAATACAAATAATATATATTATGTTATATTTACATCAAATAAAATAATTATATTATTATAATTAATATGTATCGCGAAAAGAAAATATTAATCTTATAAATCAATAATAAATACAAATAATATATATATGTTATATTTATGTCTAATAAAATTAATTTATTATAACCAATAAAGTCATTAGAAATTTTCAGATAATTTGTTCTTCACCTATAAATATTTAAGTTAAATAACATATTTTTATATTACTTGGTTTATTGCCCTTGAAAAAGTACAGCCTTGTTTAGTTTTTGCCTGATATTTAATTGTAATTTTTGATTTACTTTATTACCATAATGATGCATTCTTATGTGAAGGTATCTAAAAATAAATTTTTATTAAAATCAAGTAAATATTGTATATACCTTTTTATTATAAGTCTTATTATAATTTGATAATGACTTAACCCTGCCTCTTGATCCATATGATCTTGCAGGTCACTAAGGATATTTGTGCCTAATATTTTTGACAATATTAGACATTCTATTTTTTTAACAGCATGTCTTTTGGTTATTTCATCTACTTTTTCAAAAGCCCTGAATGAGCTCTCTGTTATTTTGCATAAATTTGACACGCTTTGGGATGGTATTATCAATCCACCATAATTCTTAATTTTTATTAATGTATAATTATTGTCGTTTGCGGAATTAAATTAGGGAATGTAAACAGATATCACATCTAACTTTCTTTTCTTCATATTCAGTAGTGACCTTTATTTGATTCATATATACTATAATATATAAGGTAAATAATAAATTGGTGTTTAATTAGAATATATATATATATTATAAATATAAACCTAATAAAAATATACCTGAAATTTATGAAATTATCATATGGTTCTTTCGTAAAAGATACAAACACAAAATGGCCACCAGTCACTTGAATTTTTGCCACTTCAAATATATTAATCGGCAGTCTATAGTATTAATGTCATTGGTTAACACTACCTAACACCCACAGATCGATCTAATTATTAATTTCCTGCAAATTTATTCAAAGTATTAATATATTTTTTTATAATTCATATCTAAATTTTTACAACATATTTTACCAAAACAATCAAATAAAGGAATATCTTAAATAAGCCCCAATATTCAAGTATTATTAATATATTTTTTTATAATTCATATCTAAATTTTTAGAATATTTACCAAAACAATCAAATAAAGGAATATCATGGCACAAAATACTAATGATATAATTAATAAATTATAAATAATATTTATTCTTTTAGAAATACAAATAATAATTTAAAATCTGAAATATGGGCTAAATTTAACATCATCATAGATGAAAATAAAAAAAACATTGGCTACGTACAATGTAAGAATTGTTCAAGTATATTATCTTATAATTATAAACATGGTACATCACATTTAAAAAGACATAAATGTGATGGTAAATCCATGAAAATTAATAAAAAAAATTTATACCTGAAAAACCAACCTATAAATGTAATATAAAATATTTTAAAGAAAAATTTATAAATCATTCCTTAACACTTTGCGCAAAAGATATTAGACCTTTCGAAATGATAGCTGGGAATCGGTTTCTTGAATTCAGCCAGGCTCTAGTCGATGTTGGGGCAAAGTATGGTAAAATAGATATCAACTCATTGATTTCACATCCCACCACTCTATCACTCCACCTTAAAGAAAAATGTAATAAAATAAGAAACATTTTGGTTGATACTATTGCCCCAGTAATCAAGAATCGATTTATGGCTGCTTCCACTGATATATGGTGCGATGACCATAAAAAGAACTCGTTTATAACAGTTAACATGCACTATATATCAGATGACTGGAAGTTAGTGAAGAGAAACCTATTTACCGCTAAATTTAAAGAAGTGACAAAGACTAGCAAAGTAGTTAAGGATGAACTATTAAAAAATTTTCATAATTTTAATTTTAACACTAACGATTTTATTAATATAATATTTGTTACAGACCAAGGTAAAAATATTATAAAAGCATTGGAGTTAAATGAACGTATAAATTGTTCATGTCATATATTAAATACAATTTTAAGAAATTCATTTAACTTCAAATATTTGGAAAGTAATGCCCCATTAATAAAATCAACAATAGATAATACTAAAATATTAGTGGGGCATTTAAAACAAAGTAATAAATGCCAGCATTTGAAAGCCCTTTATCAAGATATAGAAGTCCGCTGGAACTCTAAATACAATATTCTCAATTCTGTTTATTCTCAAAATGAAGAAATTACAAAAGTTCTTCAATAACATGGGGGATCGGAAAAGTATTATATTATAGACTTTCCGATCCTTCAGGATCTAGTCAAAATTCTTGAGTATTTTAACAGAGCTATTGTTGAGTTAAAGTCGGACTCTTGTACTCTTTTTAAAGTGGTAATTTGGTATTATGAACTTCTTGAAGTTTGTAATACCTTTCAAAGCGAAAAGGAGAAATAAAATTGATTTTACTAATATAAAGCATTTTTTAATTGAAAAATTTGTTTTACACAAGTATCATTTTATTTCTCTTTTTCTCTGTCCCAAATTCAAGCAATTAATGTTGTCAGGGACAGATCGCAAGATGACGGAAAACTATATTAAAGATTATATTAAATTACAAGAGGCTCAGGAAGTAAATGAAATACCATCGATCAGTCAAATTACGACTGTTGTTAAACAAACTGAATCGTTTTATGACAAATGGAGCGATGGTAATTCTGGTAATATGTCAATACCCGATGATGAATATTATAATTACATAAATAAAAAAATAGATGAAACATTTAAGGTGGATATGTTAGAGTGGTGGGCGGCTCATCAAAGCGAATTTCCAATTTAAAATTGGCAAAACGGGTATTGGCAATTCCTGCTTCAAGTGCAAGCTGTGAGCGGAATTTTTCCACTACTGGGAGAATTCTTGAAGAAAGAAGAAGTAATCTTCAACCTGAAAAGGTAGATATGATTCTCTATCTTCATGATAATTTGTGAATTTTTAATATCTTTCTTGAGTATAGGGTTTCGTCAATCATGTTGGTTTTTTACTTTGCAAACTGTCAAATATTTATTGCATTTATTATATTTTACCTTGAGTCATGAAAGTTTTTAATCCAACATTTTTCATTATTTTTTTTTACAATATTATATAATACAATTATCTTCTTTTGTTAAAAATTTATATTATAAAATAAATTATATTAATATTGTGCAATTAGATTATATTTTCAAAATACTATTTATTATACATGCATTTTTTTAAATAGCGATTTATTTTTATTTTATAAATTAAATAGTAAATTAAATACAATATATTATATAAATACGCTTGCCTCGCCAACACTATGTTCATTCCTATCGTTACCAATACCCTAGGCATGTTTGGAAACGAGGCCCTCAATTTCATTAAAATTATAGGAAAAAAAATGAGACAGATCTCAGGGGACCCCAATGAAGGATTTTACCTTCGCCATCAGATTTCCCTAGAAATTTGCCGGTCTAATTTTTTAAATATTCACTCTTCTCTTGGATGATATATACCCCCCCCCCCTTTTTTTAAAACCCATATATTTTTTTTTATAGTCTTTTTTAATGTCTTCATAGATCATATATATATTATATATTTCTTTTTTTTATATTTAATTTTTAATATATCCATTTTAATATATATTTTTTAATCCTCTGTAATTTTAATGAAAATCAAAAAATAAAATACAGTTTAATATAAAAAAAAAAAAAATATTATATTCTCAAAATATTTACCATTTTTATAAATTAAATATTAGTTTTATTTTTTTTAAATGCAATATAAAATATAGTATATGCTCAAAATATTATTACCATTTTTATGAATATTAGTTTTATTTTTATAAATGCAATAATAAATATAGTATATGCTCAAAATATCCATTTTTATAAATAACAGTTTTATAATTTTTATAAATTCAATATAATATTCTCAAAATATTAGCTTTTTACATGTATTTTTTAAATAATAAGCGATCTCGCTGAAAAATATGGTAAAATACCTCATAGGTGAATTTTTGTATACCAGGTCGAATATAATTTTAAAAAATTCCGAGCCGGGGAAATTTTTTTTTAAAAAATATCCGGGACGGGCCTTAAATTTTTAAATCCGGGCCGGGCCATAAAAAATTTTTTTTAAAAATATCCAGGCCGGGCCTAAAAAAATTTAAAACCAGGCCGGGCCGTGCAAATGGTGCCTCTGCAGGTCTCTGATTTATATGTTACCTATTTGAATTATATGGTAGAAAAATTCTATTTTTAACAGCTATCTATAGTGTTACTCTTACTACTATTGCATAAATGACTTACCCTGAATTCATAGTGCGATCGCGATTTAGACGCGATATCGCTGCGATCGATCAGCTGATGGATCGCAGCGATTTTGCAAAGCGATTGTTAAATCAGACACTGTTTACTGCGGATACGACTTTATATTAATTCAAAATGGTAGCCATCCTCAAATTAATATTTTTTTACAGAATGATGTAGAAGAGTAGAAGATTAAATAATCTTAATATTAATAAAAGAAAGGAAGGTGAATTTTACATCCTTTTTCCAAAACTATTAAAAAATGACTCAAAATTTTTTAACTATATGAGAATGACAAAAGTAATTTTATTCTATTTTATCTATAATTTATTTTAATTTAGGAAACATTTTATTATATACTAAAATATATAAAACCTTTATTATATACTAAATGTACAAATTTTAATAAACATCCTATAAGTGTAGAAGAAATGCTTATGATTTGTTTAAGGTAAAAATAAAGCAATTTATTATTTAAATATATTTTTTATTTAGATATTTAGCAACAGGCTGTAGATATCCTACTTTGGCCTATTCTTTCAAAATAGGCATATCTACAGTCCAGAAAATAATTAGGACAACATGCCAAGCTATACGACAAACTTTGATAGGCAAACATATGCCACCACCTACTCTCAATGACTTTGAGAGGATAGTAAAGGTATAGTATACATATAAATTAAAAGGAGTTTGAAGTGAAATGGAATTTACCAAATTGTGTGGGATGTATTGATGGAAAACACTGCAGAATTAGAAAGCCACCTCATTCTGGCAGTGGGTTCTACAATTATAAACACTTTTTCTCTGTGGTTTTACAAGGTTTGTGAAATTATTTTTTATTTATGCTAATTAAATATTTCCATATTAATAAACATTGTAATGAAAACTTGATAACAAAAATATAATTTTTGAAAAATATTATTTATATATTGTAAAAACAAGAATTGTGGATGCCAAAGGCAAATTTATAACAGTCGATGTAGGAAGTTTTGGCAGTGAATCTGATGGAGGTGTTTTTGCTAACTCCAAAATATACAAAATGATAGAAAATGGAGAGATACAATTACCTCCTTCTAAAAGATTGCCGAATTCCAGCCTCCTTTTCCCACATTTTTTGTCACTGATGATGCCTATCCTTTGAAGTCATATATTTTAAAGCCTTATAAAGGTATAGTAAAAGAATATATTAACTTAATTATATCATATTTATATAATATATTAAAGCAATGGCATTATTAATGGCCATTATTTTAATTATTAGGAATTTAAAATTTTATTAGTTATATGTTAAAATTTGTAGTGTTGTTAAAAAGATGAGTTCTTACGACTTGCGACTCGAGTCATAGTC